AACAAAAGGTACAATGCGTAAATGTTAGTACTTAAAAACATTGGTGTACTAACACTGAAAAAACAACTGTAAATTTACATTTATTTTACATTTGTTTACTGTATTTTTAATGATAACCTGGAAACTGCAGTTGCAGTTTTATCTATAGATTTTACAGATTAAAAAAAAAATGTTATAAAGTTGAAAATTTTTTCAAAGATTATTTTAATGAGTAGGCCATAAAGGGTTAAAATAATAACCCTGTAATATATGACCCAACAATTCACGTCAAGCATTGTGCATGGGGTGCAAAAAAAGATGGATAAAGGGTATACTGGTAAGGATATGGACACAAATCCAGAAGCTACTGCATATGGCAGCCACGTACGCAAGCGTGGCCTGAAGGGTCAGATGCAGATGTAGAACCAGAGAGAAAATAAGTGTGAACGGATTTCCATAGTCTATGCGCAGATTTGAGGGGGAATGAAACAGAGGAGAGGTGAGTGTAGAGGTTGCTCTCTGTGTCTCTGGAATGTCAGTATAATGAGCTCAGGGCCAGAGGAGGATGCTGGGATATGTGTGCGCTGCGTGCATGTGTTGATGTGAAGAGGTTTGTTTACCACCACAGTTGCCAGAGGCTGGACTGGAATTGGAAAAAAAAAAAAAATCTCAAATCCCTACCGAATGAACTGTGGGTCTTGGCTTTAGACCCGTGAGCCGCACCGGGCGCCCTTGCGGCTCAACGCACGGACAAGGCTGTGTTTTTCTTTTTCTTCTTTTTTTAAGAAAAGGATATTCCATCTCTGCACGGATGTCATCTAGTCGGTGAGACAGCTCGATGGAGTCTTCCTCCTTATTTTCATTAAACACCTTCAGCTGTATGTCGAGTTCCTCCGTCTCCTTCAGCTCCTGTCATTACAGAGGGTGATATGAGAAGAATGAGTGACTGATGAATGCCTCGTCATATCAGATGGGTAAAATAGCAGGAAGTTGGAAGGGAGGAAAAAAGTCAGCTAGAATGTGTTGGCTTGTACATGGCCAGCTTAAAGATCTCTTGAACAACTTAACAAGCATTATAGCCATGCTTTTGTGCTTCTAAATATTGACCAGTTCACTTTTAGCTGCACCTAACATTTGCAGAAAAGGAGAGAAAAAAAATACTCTTTCAACAAAATTATTAGAACTGCTGTGAAATATCAATAAATTTTAAAATATTTCACAAAAATATTTAATTTTAATTATATATATATATATATATATATATATATATATATATATATATATATATATATATATATATATATATGTAGTTTTTATTTTTCTATAGTTTTATTTTTTATTTTCATAGTTTTTTATTATTTTCTTATTCATTTATTTATTTATTTTTTTGTCTGGTGAAAGTCTTGTCTTTATTAGTTTGGCTGGGGGAAAAAAAACATGTAAGATTGGTGTAAAAAGGTTAATATTATTAGCCTACTTAAAAGTTTGGACAAGCCACAGAACAAACCACTGTTTGTCCAATGACTTGCCTAATTAGATGAGCATTTAAATGCACTTTAAGCTGAATACTGGTATCTTGACCAATAAATGGTAAAATATTATGTACTGTCATCATGGCAGCAGCAACAAAACCATTTTATTATATTATTTAAAAAAATTATTAAATATAATTTTATTCAGATTTATTTAAAAAAATATGTTTAAAAATAGGGATGTCCAGATCAGATCATGTCCAATGCCGTGATCAGAAATAGGGCCCGATCACACGGTTTCAGACTTGATTGGAATCGAACATTACCTGCCGATCAGGTCAGAATTCATACATATATACATACATACATATATATATATATATATATATATATATATATATATATATATATATATATATATATATATATATATATATATATATATATATTCTTATTATTTTTTAACACATCTATAGTTATGCAGTGGCACAGAGTGAAACTTTTTTCTTGACTTCACACAGACAATGGTGACGATATTGGTTAAATTTTGGCAAAGTAGAACATTGAAGCAGCTTGAAGCAGAAAGCATGAGTATGTCTGTGGTCTGGAGGTATTATAAAGTTGATGACGACAACACTGCCATAGCAAACTGTGAGATGTGTCAACTTGGGATTGCCTATATCAAGTAATTTACATTTAGGTGCTATTTGTTTATATTAGAATTTGTTTTATATTTATTGTTGCACTAAATCCAAAAGTGAAGAATGTATGTTATTTATTACTTGATTGTTCAAGATACCTCACAGAAGTGCTCTCTCTGTTAACAGAGTTGTTGAATGGTTAAAATAAGGTGAAATAAATAAAAAATAAGGAACATCCTGGATTTGTTTCTTTGCTCTTCTGTATAATTTTTTTTTTTTGTATTATATAAGTATCAGATCGGGTTTCGGTATCGGTAGATACTCAAAATCAAATCACTCGGACTTGGGCTTGGGCTTGAGGGCAAAAAACAAAACAGATTGTGATATCCCCATTTAAAAATGTGTTAATTAAAATTTTATTAATAGTTAAAGAATTTACATTTAATTGGATAACTAATAATATGTGTCAACTACTGCATAATATAGTATAACAAAATCTAAAAAATTATCTGGTATATCCTTGTTATGAAGTGTCCAGCTAGTTTGAGAGTGAAATAGTACTGTGATGTGATATATTTTTATATAATTTATATAATTATAATAATGATATATATATTTTTTATACCACATCACATATAATGTTATAACATTATTTTTAGTATTTTAGTATTTTAGTAAATTATGTTTAACAAACTCCATTTTAATCTGTTTTATTTATGCATTGTCTGTTGAACTATAAAATATTAAACAATCAATCGATTTATTAATCAAATAAATCATTGCTGGTTCAAAAATAGGGCTGGTAAATGTTCAAGTCAAAAGCCATTGGCAGGCTATGCAAATTGTTACCTTCAGGTTTTCTATGTACACATTTCATTTACAAATTTTAAATTCTCAAAACAGCAAGTGCAAAGGGAAAAATATGACATGAATAAGACTATAATGTGACTGGGTATTATGGTATGGATGATTTCAGCTGCCTGCTCCACTCTGTCCAATGATAGAGCCACAATAATAAGAATATATCCCCATAATAACAACAACATCTCTAAAACAAATTGTGCTCATCAAGTGTTTTAAAGCTTAGGTGTCAGTTAAAACCCTAAGCCTGATTACTGTTGCATTGAGCAGAGAGTCAATCTGTTTTTCTATGGAAAAAAACAGACTGTCTTGCTATGTACACCTGCCGCATACGTGACAGATATAAAGGGTTTAGAGAGAGCGAGAGATAAAGAAAGAGAGGATAAAAAAGGTCCGCTTTACAGCTCTTCTATGAATCACTGCTGGTGTAGTTTATGGACGGTGAAAAGCCAAATGTAACCCAATTTCTGTAGTTATCAATCAGTGGACTATACTTCTGGCATGCCATCTGTCTTAAAGGAACAGCCAACCAGAGAGAAAAAGCACAGTAGGAGGCAGGACCGAGCCTCTTTCGCTTCCTTGAACACACACACACATCCATCTCCAGAAATGTGTATTTTCATTTCATCAGACACTATTTCCCATCTCTCCTTAAGGATTCAGCATGTCTCATTTGTCTTTCACTTTGTTTCTTTCCCTTTTGCACTTGCCATTTGGAGGATACTAAAACCTGGAAACTCATTATTCACAATTAGAGAACAATGTCATATTTAATTGTCCTATTAAACTTTCAAATACATTATTCATAAATTACGATAAGCCCATCATATGCGGGGGTAGATTGAGATAATTATAATAATTGCAGCAATAATATAGAGAGCAGTCAAAATGACTTATTAAGAGTGAGGAAATGCCCACATAAATGAGATGGTGAGTGATGTGCTGGCCTGGTTGTGGGCTTTGTGGCAGCGAGGAGCACAGATCTGGCTGCTGATTGATAATGATGTGTAAGGCGAATGGCCTTTATGAAACAAAGCTGTGCCATTAGGGAGGACGACACCAAACCGGGGCACATTTTAGTAGTTTTTAATAGCTCTGTTCATTTGTTCAAAAGTTTCTGATGTTTTGTAAGGCCATTTTTTTGGTCTTTGTTTTGTTTTGTACTCTCAGCTTTAACTGGTCGTTTTTTTAACACCAAACTCTTTCATTAGAAAACAGTGTCTATCATTTGAAGATAAACTACAAATGTAAAATAGGTTATTCAATTTATTTAAAAACTTAAATAACAGACAAACATGGAAAAAGTATTTCGCTGTCATTAAAAATAATAACTTCCTTTTATCACAAAACCAAATATAAGGACATGTCGTTACATAAGATGGTTAAAAAAATTGTAAATTGTGTCTAATAAAAGCATCCAAAATTAATAATACAGGAAGTAGCGATCCGCCTGATACAAATATTCGATTTGACAATTTATTTTACATCATTAGGAAACCTTCAAAGCCTTCCTATAATAACTTCCAGCAATTAACCCTTTCACGCATACAATCACACCAGTGTGATCAGCCTGGCTGGTCCTGTGTGATTAGATTTTTCAAAGCACATGTCATCAGCTGCTAAAATTAAAATCTAATGGCACACGTTGGGGCACAGAAAGAGGGGCACACCTTGTCACATTGTTTTCAAAAAAATAAAAATTTTTTTAGACTTCAGATATTCAAAAACACATAACAACAAGCAAAATTTAAGATTCGTGAAAGACACGCAGACGTCTATGGAGATGGTAATAATAATTATTTTTCAATATATATGGACGAAGTGCTTTATTCACGCAGGATACACACTGCTTATGTTACTAGAAAAATTTTTGTTCCCTTCATGTATTTCGGAAGATAATTATGAATAAACATGACGTAAATCCAGCAGCTTAGACCACTTATTGTTGCTAGAAAGGATACAGCTGTGATCGGAAGTTACAGAGAACTGTATTATTAATTATATTACGCATTAATTGTATTGTATTAGCATTTAACCCTACCTCAACTCTAAACCCAACCATCCCAGTAATGTAAAAATATTACTTGTTCTGCTGTCTTACACAAATTATGCTACATTGAGTATTTTCAACTGTATAACATCTGGCTAATAAAACAAAATTAATTTGTAATTTAATAAATAATATAAATACTTCTCGTTAATTTCAGATCACAACTGTATCTCTTCGAGCAACAATTGTGGCGCCCATTATCCATCACATAACAAATAATATGCTCATTTTTAAACAGTTTAAAAGACAAAATATATGTTCTATTACATATTTGAGAATCTACAATTTCACAATATAATCAGAACATTTGTCAATATTTACAGAAAAGGACTAAATTTATCAAAATCGATGAATACATAAATCATTGGAGCTGGTGGGTCACGTAATAAACTTGACACGTGAAAGGGTTAAATCTCTCCACCCTCTTTTCAAATCAATAAATACGCTGAAGTCATAACTAATTAGCCAGTGTTAAATGACACACCAAGTAAAAAAGTAGCAATTCAAGACTGCAGTGCAAACTTCATTGGTGATTCAAAATAAATAATAAAATAAAAATAAATGCATTTATTAAAAGGCAACAAAAAAATTAAACACAATTTACAATGAATTAATATAAATTAATATAAAATGAAGTAATTACTATTTAATTAAAAAATCAAAGATAAAGCAAAAGATTTACTTACTGGTAGGATCTTTTTCAGGCCGCAGCGCAGAAACTCATTTCGTAAGTGTATCCTGAAGTCTAAATCATCCGGGGAGGTAACGAGGGCATTGATCAGCTGCATACAGGCCACCTGTTTTCACACACAGACACACACACACACACACACACACAGACACACACACACACACACACACACACCACCACCATCATCATCATCATCATCATCATTTAATGCAAGCAAATCTTCAGAATCATCCCTTTGGCAATAAAAGATTAAAATGCAGTGCCCTGCAACAGCCTCTTATTCATAGTGCTCTCATCTCTCATCTTAAAGCAAAAAAAAAATCAATACATCACATTAAATAAAATGAAATGAATTCATGAGGATGGAACGAGGCAGTTGGCACGATGAGGAACTGGAGGAGAAAAACTGGATAAAAATGAAGGGAAAAGATGCGAGTGAATTAGAAAAGCTGTCCAGGGGAAGGAGGGATGGAGGAAGGGAGCAGGCCAGGCTGAACAGATGTGTATTTTTAATTGATTTATCGGAACGGGGCAGTGTGCAGGGAGGAGTGCTGATGGTTCTTAACAGGCTATAAGGTGGCTCCAGGGAGCCGGCCAGGATGAGAAGGAATGCTCTCCGCTTGCTTGATCGATGCCGAGTGGAAAGATCACTCTTGATGGACATGTGAAGAAAGCTCCTATACCTTCACAGCCTCGACCTGGGCTTTTTGAGTAGTTTTGCTGTTTGGCCTGTGTGTTTTATTTCCTCGCATGATTTTATTAATCAAGAGAAAGCTCTGTTATTCTGACTCTTGCTTGTTTTGCCTCTAAAGTGCAGCCATAATAAACAGAAACCATGCTTGAGCCATGGGGAAGACATTACTTGACATGAAATTTAGGAAATGATGGCCATCTGGAGGAGATGCATGGGTTTAATCCATAAATCCATAAAACACTGGAAATCAGTTTAGGTTGAATTCATCCAGAGGAGAGGGGAAAGTTGTTTATAAGGGGTTTTTAGTTCGAAAGTCTGGGGCCAAGAGACAGAAAAAAATATAGAACTGATCATTACTTTCGTTTTGTTTTTATTGTTCCTTTTTCATTATTTTTCTGAAATGTATAAACATATGTATACATTTGTGGGTTTGAATCCATTTCAATAAAATGGTTAATACATTTTTTTTTTTCTTTTGGCCCACATCCCATCATTGGATGGATGGATGGATGGATGGATGGATGGATGGATGGATGGATGGATGGATGGATGGATGGATGGATGGATGGGCGGAGGGTCAGACTGATTGTCAAAATGAAAGACGGATGGATGGATAAATGGAAGAATGAATGAACAGATGGACAGATGGATAGACAGATTGCCAAAATGAAAGACAAATGGATGGATGGATGGATGGATGGATGGATGGATGGATGGATGGATGGATGGATGGATGGATTGCCAAAATGAAAGATAGATGGGTGGGAGGATGGATGGATGGATAGATGGATGGATAGATTGCCAAAATTAAAAATGGATGGATGGATGGATGATAATTGGCTATAACGTTGGATGGATGAATAGATGTACTGATTTCCAAAATGAAAGATAGATGGATGGATTGATAAATAGAGACAATATAGAAATAAAATGATATAACATTTCTCAATCACGGACGGACGGAAGTACGGATGGAGACACTATATATAGTATAATGTAATGGTTGATAGGCAGATGGACAGACGAATGGACAGACAGTTGGATGAACTGATTCCCAAAATGAAAGACGGATGGATAGATAGATGGATAGATTATAATTGGTTAGAATGGATTTTTGGATTTTTTTTTTTTTTACTTTTGAACCACATCCCTCAATCAAGGATGGATGGATGGATGGATGGATGGATGGATGGATGGATGGATGGATGGTTGAACGGATGGATGGTTGAACGGATGGATGTACTGATTGTCAAAATTTAAGATAGATGGATAGACGGATGGATGGATGGATGGATGGATAAATGGAGACAATATATGGATAGAATGATATAATGATTGATAGGCATATGAATGGATGGAGAGATCAATGGATTATAATTGGTTATAATGGATTTTTTTTAACCACATTTTTTAATCCTGGATGGATGGATGGATGGATGGATGAATGGATGGATGGATGGATGGATGGATGGATGGATGGGTGGATGGATGGATGGAGACAATATATAGATAGAATGATATAATGGTCGATAGGCGGATGAATTGATGGATGGATTATAATCGGCTACAATGTTTTTTTTTTTTCTTTTGACACACCTCTATCATGGATGGATGGATAAATGGATGGATGGATGGGCGGAGACAATACAAAGACAGTATGATATAATAGCTGACACGCGGATGGATGGATGGATGGATGGATGGATGATAATTGGTTAGAATGTTTTTGTTTGTTTTTTTACTTCTGAACCACATCCTTCAATCATGGATGGATAAATGAATGGAGACAATATATAGATAGTATGATATAATGGTTGATAGGCAGATGGATGGATGATGGATGGATACAGTAGGCAGAATTACAGATGGATGGTTAGCTAGGTAGGTTATAATTGGTTATGGAATTTTTACTTTTGAACCACATCCCTCAATCATGGATAAATAGATAGATGGATGGATGGATGGATGGATGGATGGATGGATGGATGGATGGGAGTAGGCAGAATTACAGATGGACAGATGGATGGATGGAAACACTCTCTAGATAGTATGATATAATGATCGATAGGCAGGTTGATGGCTGAATGGATGGATTCAGTAAGCAGACTGACAGTTGGATTGATAGTTAGGCAGAACAATGAAAGAATGATAGATAAATAGATGATGGAAAGATGAGAAGGATAAGATGATAGAATGACAGAGATAAACTGATTAGTGGAAACACTTTGTTGTTGTTCCTGTTAAACAACACCATGCCTCCACATCACCAACACTCTTCATATTCCCATTTCAGCAATTATTTCGATTTAAATCATTGATGAGGCTTACTGAGTGAATCTAGATCATTCTTGGAGTTCTCTAGAGGGCAAAAAGCATTTCATCAGCAGCAGTGTCAACACGCCAGCCTGTCTGGGATGATGTTGCAGATAGAGTGTTGGTGCAGGTTGCGGGGCTTATTTTCTCTATGGGTTGAGTGTGCAATCATGAGCCTCTGCAGCACAGTGCCGGAGGTGGAATCCAGCAGAGTAATTAAGAAACGGCACTGCTGGGACAATTTGAAGTTTGCATGCTTGCGTCACTGAGATGCCGTGACGGCGAAAACGCAATTTAATCACGTTTAAAAAGTCAGACTCTGTAGCTCATTGCAGGTTTTAAAAGTGTTTAATTTCTTTTAACCGCTGGCATTGGAGAGGTGTTTTAATTTACTTGACAATTAGCGGCGGTTCTTTTCATTAAAATCTTTTTTTCAATGAGGAAAACAAGGCAAAAAATCAAAGGGATTCATTGCTTCCTTTTCCATTCACTCGCCCTATATCATATCGTCGTCTTCCTTGTGCTCTCAACAGAAACGCACAGATTAGGGATTTGGTTAATGAATGTGTGAGAGTGGCTTATTGTGGTTGGTCACAGATCACTGCAGGTTGTGGAGAGGCAGAGAATGATAAATACAGGTGTGATGCTGCATTCTTGCCCTTTTGATTCAGTTCCTCTGAGACCAGAGTGGAGAATGCCGAGAAAAGGTAAGAAGGGAAAATGATAAAGTAATCTCTCAAGAAGAGTTTTTGTTGTTGCTAGTTTCCATAGCTCTGGGTTTATTGTGTGACCTGGTTGGAGCTGATTAGGATTTAATAATACACCTCCCGTTCCATTACAATAGCCAGGAGCTAGTTCCCATCTTGTGGCGTAGGTGGCAGGGCTGACAGACGACCAGAGAACACAGTGAGAAGAGGGATGGGGTACTTGTTTACATGTCAAGCTGAGCTATGGTGCTGAAGAACTTTGAGTGACAGATGTGCCAATTTCTACCTGGCTCCAGCATCAAAAAGAGCACTGCGCATGAAGAGGCCCGACGCACTGACTGACACTAAATAGAGCAGATCTATATCTGCAGCCCTGGGCAAACAGAATTCTGCTAATTATTTTTTGAAATAAGTGAAATAAAATATGAGTCAGTGTAAATTTTTAAAAAAAGAGTCTGATGATATGTGTTCTGGAGTTTAGCAGACACAATAACTAAATAACAGACAAAACAAATAAATAAATTACTAAACAAGTTACAAAAACAAAAGAAAAAAAAGAACAACAAATGAATAAGCAATGGGGGAAACAATGAACAACTGATAAAACCAAATAAAAGAATTTGGGTATAAAAAGTAGGAATGCAGAAAATTTCCAACTGCTGAAATCTATCAGTAAATGTAATCTGGTTTTGACCGAAAAGAAAAATTGCTAAAAATATGAGCCCAAAAAAGTTTGCTGCACCATAGTGCCCATCGGTGTTCAGGATGCTGGTTTCACTCTCACTTCAGCCAAAGTCACAGATCAATACGGTGCACTGCTACTTTACAAAAAAATATTTTATATAATTTAATGAAATGACAAATGATTATTGGAAAGAAAATTCTTTTTGTTGACCAAGTGCATCTAAAATGAAAATAAATAAATAAATAAAAATAAAAATAATGAAATAAAATAAAATGAAATAAATAAAATGAAATCAAATAAATTTAATTAAATTTAAAAATAAATAAAATTAAACTTATATAAAAAATATAAATAAAATCAAATATTACAATAAATAAATAATTAAATAAAAAATTAAAACTAAAATAAGAAAAAATAAAAACAAAAAATAATAAAACAATTATTTAAATAAAAAAATTATAATATAAAATAAATAAAAAAATAAAAAATGGCAGCACAGGGGCACAGTTGGTATGAATAAATTATTTTTTTTATTAAATTAAATCAAATTAAATTAAATTACATTTTTTAAATCTAATCAAAAAGAGTTTTGTCTCATGGATTTTTTTCTGACGTACTAGAGGTTCCAGAAGGAGTGAATATTGAGATTTTCACCACACTTGCTCCACATTAGTCACATAAGTCTTCTTAACAAAAATGTCTACTGTAAGTATGAATATTGCTTTTGCAGTCATCTGTGCAAGAGTTTATATAGCTGTGTAAGTTTAGTTAGACTTGGAAAGGGCAGCAAACTGACCTGCAGCTGCTGGGCTTCGTGGTTCTCCAGCCCTTCCACTATCGGAGCAAACCTCTCCTTATTATTTCTTTCTGCTGCAATGGTCATAGCTGCCAGGATCTTATCCAGACTAAAGGAAAACAAGTTGACAGAAAGCAATGCATTTAGGTAAACATGCTTTTTATCAAGACAGGACAATGACAATGGTTAGGAGAAATCACCCGATATGATGGTCTAAGCAGTCTCAGACGTTCACACAAGTGACCAGAAACAATGTTGCAGTCTTTTATGTAAAAATTACAGTCCTCTGTGGTTGTTCAATAACAAAGCAAGTCTAGTGTTCTAATTAGTAAGAAGAAACAGGGCCAACATGATGCTTTAGTTTTCACAGTAAAATAGTGAAGTAGCTAAATATAGTTGAAGTCAAAATTATTAGCCCTCTTGTGATTTTTCTTTTTCAATATTTCCCAAATGATGTTTAACAGAGAAAGGGATTTCACAGTATTTCTGATTATACTTTTTCTTCTGAAGAAAGTCTTATTTGTTTAATTCTGGCTAGAATAAAAGCAGTTGTGCTTTATTAAACCTTTTTAGGATAATATTATTAGAAGCATTTTTTTATTATTGTCTACAGAACAAACCACTTATATACAATGACTTGCCTATTTACCCTCACTTGCAAAAGTAGCCTAATCAACCTATTTAAATAGCACTTTAAGCAGAATTTTAGTGTCTTGACAATATCTAGTAAAATATTATAATTCAGGAGGGCTAATAATTCAGACTTTTACTGTATGTCAAATTCTACAGCCATTTTATGACAGAAACAATCACAGGTAATGTGCTGCGATGCAAACTACTGGACATTTATTTTTTATTTTTTATTTTTTTTTTGTCAAATAGCTTTAAATTGAAAATATTGAATGAATCATATCTGCCCCTTCACCCAAATTGAACCCGTATACAATAATGTCAAAAGAAGTAATAAGCCAAAAAATGTGTTTGGAATGAGGTACAATAATTGTTGGTGTAAAAACAAATTAAGGACTTTATAAGACTCTGTTTTGCTGACTCTGGTGGTGTGCAGCTCATGGGCAAAGGGAAAAGAATTACAGAATGCACCATAGACAAATTATAACTGCACAACAAAACCAGTGCATGAGTAAAAATAGCCCGTTCGGGAAAGAGATTGTGTCTTAATAGCTTGACATCATGTTACTGGACCTTCTTTCATCAAGTAAAGGCTAATGTTCCTTTTATCAGGCAGACCCAGGGATAGGGGTTGTAAGAAGAAGAAAATAAAAAATAAACTACAGCAGAAAAATGACACTGACACTCATTTAAAATAAATGAAAGCATATAGGATCAAAATAAATGTTATTATATTTTAATCCTTAAAAACTGCTTGGTGAGAAACAACATTATAAAATTAGGACACAGTGTACTCTGTTAAGATAATGAATTTTTCCGCATTATAATTTCTACTGTTTTGTTTTTATTTTTTATATAAATAGTTTTTCAGGTGTTTTACCAGTATTTTGAGTTTTTGCATTGAATTGTTTTTACATTTTTTAATTGAATTAGTTTTTATCCTGGAATAAAATGACTAGAAGTTTGACCAACTGAATGACTAACATAATTAATTTATGCTACTCTTATATAATATTTTTTTATTTAAAAAACAAATAAACAAACAAGCATGATTCTTGCTCAAAATATAACTGACAAAAGTTTTTACGTCCTCCACATTTTAGCAAGTTGCTTCTGTAAATCATGGTAAAAAAATGTAATTTATGTATGATTTATGAATGATTTATGCATTTATACATTTTTTTTTAAATTTACTTCATTACTTGGCCCAAAAAAGTACACCAAATAAATAAATAAATAAATAAATAAATAAATACATACATACATACATACATACATACACAAGCAAACAAACAAATAAATAAATAAATAAATAAATAAATAAACAGGCAGATTATTATTATTATTATTATTATTATTATTATTATTATTATTATTCATTGATAAATACATAATTAAATAAATGAATAAATAAATAAATAAATAAATAAATAAATAAATAAATAAATAAATAAATAAATAAATAAATAAGCAGATTATTATTCTTATTTATTTTATTTTTTATAGTATCACTTTAAGGCTTGTTCAATCTCTGTACTAACTCATACAGTATACACAACAGATTACAAAAGCATTAAACTAGTGACCTACACCAGCTGTTAAGTTCACTCTCACATGGTTTTGTTGCTCAGTTCGGTCTGCTAGTGGCAGAAACTGCAGAGAGAAGTTTTGTGGAACAGCTCAGTGTAAGATCTGTGTTTTTGTGATCCAGGTGATTAAGTTGTAGTCGTGAGTGGGTTGTACCGAGTCTTTCATGCTGGTTCAAACATGGCTTCAGAATAAGCTACACCTGCTCAACTCCTAAAGAGGGCTTTGATGTGACAGCACTAAACATAAGCCAGTGTCACTGCACAGCGTTTGAGGGGGAAGGAGCTGGTTTTTCACCGCTAAGTGAGGTATCAGCGTTTTTACAGCTGTCACACAGATCTGCACACTCTCTGATCACTTACACACTCTGAAAAAAAACACTAATCTACTCAACTACTGCACACTAATTCACCCAACCTGCACTTAGCATGAGTGTTTGAGTATGTCTGTTTATTGAAATTAAAGGTTGCTGATGGTTGGTTGCTGAAAGAAAATGTGCTTAATTTTCTTAATTAGTTTCTTAATTATTTAACAATAATGCTAAAACAGCAATTATCCTTGTGTTGTTTTCGTTACAACTAACCAGGGACTTTATAGCAGGCTACTTAAGGATAGGTTTCATAATAAATATGTTTACTAAACGGATTTAAGCATTCACTTAAAACTGTTGAATATTTGATTGACACTAGTGCTAATTAATATATGACATCACCATCATTACATAAACATTATGTAAACAATTATTTTAATAATATTAATTAATATTAATATATATATATATATATATATATATATATATATATATATATATATATATATATTAATATTATCATCATTATTATTTTAAAATAATATTTATAATAATAGTAATTATATTTATAATAATAATAAGAATAATAACAAGATTATTATTATTTTTAATAATATATTTACTATTATTAATATCATAATTATTATTTTTACAATAATATTTATAATTATAGTAATATTAATTAACTTTATAATTATAATATTAAGAATAATAACAAGATTATTATTATTATTATTATTATTATTATTATTATTATTATCACTATAATCATCATTAATAATAATAATAACAATCTGCCCATATTATTCTGCCATATAATTAGTTAACATTGTATATGTTTTATTATTATTTATCATTGTATTATTATTATTATTATTATTATGCAAATGATATATTTTTCGTATTTTATTATAATTAATCATGTTTAATAATAATAATATTATTATTATTTATATTATTATTACTAATATTATTTAAGTATCATTATTATTTAGTATTGTATTATTTTTTATTATGTACATTATATATATATATATATATATATATATATATATATATATATATATATATATATATATATATATATATATATATATATATATATATATATATATATATATATATATGTATGTATGTATAATATTATTTATATATTTATAAAATATATTATTTATATAATTTTTTTATCTATATATTTTTTATTTATATATATATATAATGACTGTTCATTTATTGCAGTTTTAAATCAGCTCAACTTAATTCTTTCTAAAAACCTTGTATGAAAAACGCACACATAATCAAAGTGAGATAATAATCTTACATGTTCTCTTCACCGATGATACAAACAGCTGACAGAATCTTGACAATCTCAGTCATCATATTAGTCTGCTTGGGATCGATAGCTCTAGCAAGGAGGAGTAGGCTTCTTTCGTCCCCCAGGATCCTTTGGAGGCCATACTGAAAATGAAAACATATTTTATTTTACTTCATCTTTTAAATATAAACCCTTTACAACTACCGCTATCTTTAAACTTTAGGCAAACCCCTTGTGTATAAAAAAACATAGGTATTCTTCTCCTAAATAAAGACAGTTCCGTGTTAATATGTTTGAAGATAAATCAATTTAAATGAAGATATCAGGAACAAACAATCATAATCCTGCATTAAATATTTCTCATATTTTGCAATGCACTGGACTAGGAATGCAATTTGGTAGAGAGCATTCATTCTTTCATTTTCCTTCAGCTTAGTCCCTTTATTCATCAGTGGTCGCCTCAGTGGAATGAACCACCAACTTATGCAGCATATGTTTTACACAGCAGATACCTTTACAGCTGCAACCCAATACTGGGAAACATCCATGCACACTCATTCACACACATACACTACGGCCAATTTAGTTTATTTAATTCACCTATGCTTCATGTCTTTGGACTGTGGGGGTAATCAGAGCACCTGGAGGAAACCCACGCCAATACGGAGAGAACATGTAGACTCCACACAGAAAAGCCAGCTGAACCCGCCAGGTGGTTGAGAGCAGTATTTGTGAAATCAAAATTCACAATGTATATTTTATTAGCGCAAATTGTTATACTTTAGAAAGTGTAAGTTTATCCACTGAAAAAAATTTTTTTTGGTAATCTTCAATCAAATTCTGAACATTTTCTTCTGCTTTTGGAGTCCCCAAACTGCTCTGATGTTGTCAGTTTGATGGCTAAAAGGTTCAAGACACCTTGGAATACTTTTTTTGAGATTTAAAACAGATTTGTGTGTGTTGAGCGTCAGTTAAGACAAGGTTAACACCCGTCAGCTTTAATTGTGGGGAAAACTAGATAATTTTGAGCTTTTGTAAGCTTATTTGATCTTCCGGGTTTAAAATAATATTGGGGGCGGGATCAAAATTGGATGACGTAGCCCAAATCTGCTAGTAAAGTTATGACACATCATTATTATTTTTAGCGGAGTTTTCTTATTCAATGAGAAGCTTCTTAATTTTTCATGAGATCACATGTATTCCGAAGGCAAGGCGGACATGCCAAGTTGTGATACCCAATGACTGGGTGAGACCGCATCTGCGCCTGGCAAGGGTCATATGTGTTTGTTTATATGATCCATTGGGATTGTTGAATGTTTTTCCCGGCAATGCTGTCAAAGCTAAATCTGTAAAGCTGTTGGTTTGCAGCAAGCTTTTTTTTGTCTGGAGAGCTGTACGACAATTGGAGAAGGGCAGATTTTGTCTTTTATCAGTTGAGTTTGTTACCATTCAGACACATCCCCTATATCCATGCTGCTGTGTTCGCCTATTTTTAAAATTCTTTTTGAAACAGCTTGAAACAGATAGGGCAAGGGACCTGCTGCACTGCTATGCACTGTGCCGGCATTCAGACCCGGGGATTGAAATTTAGAGAAGTCCTTCTCATTTATAGTTTTATATAAACACGCTTTTTATGATGACATATTAATTGTGGTTATGTGCATATTAAATTACAAATAACAAATCAAGCAGGAAATTAAATTTCTGTTTATTTCTGTGTTTTGACTTGGTAAACTATAAAATCATAGGTCTCCTCACAGTTTGTGTTTCATTTTGTGAGCTAACTGACAACAGTTGTTCGCTCCCCTTTCTCCCCAGCTCTGCTGGCCACGCCCACTCATCTCTCTGCTCATACAGCTCCATGTCCATCTCCAAGCATTTTATGAAAAAATTTCAGAGGTAGACTTGAACTGAAAGATAGGGGTTTCATGGCTCTTTAAGCCACAAAATTTGTAACCACGCCCCTGTTACTGTTAGTTTGCAATGAGGGAATGATGTACAAAGAGCAAGTTCCCTTTCCCTACTCAATATTCTATTTCAGCTGTAACTACATCAACATAATGAAATAAAAGTCTTAGAAACTTCTGGTTCACTCTGACTTTAAGGAAAAAAATGCATACAAATATCATTGAAAACACAAATAATGATAGTGTTTGGAATAATACAAGATTCATTATTAACATGGCAAAGGTATAAACTGAAACTGAAAAAAAAAAAATGTCAATACCATTTAGGCATGAAAGCAGCTTTAGAAAATATTAAATCTGATAATTATCAAGAGTTGAGTGAGCTTCATGTGTGTGTTGCTCCTATTTAATAAAGCAGCAGCATTTCAATCAAAAATGTATTCATTCTCAAGGACAGGTAAAGACCCGGCGTGATTTTATATTCTTTGATAAGTTGTTTTGCGAAATTTCTTCTACTTTTTTTGTACTCGGCACATGCGAGACACAAAATGATATAAACTACTCATGGCGGAGCTTTTAAATTCTAAACACACCTTGTTGTTCATGAAGGCCTTGAGGCACTGAATGAGTTTATGCTGGTTCTTCTTGTCAATGTTCTCTTGCCTGAGGAAAAAGAAAATCAGTGAGTAAAGAGAAAGATAAGAGAGTATGAATGAGCAATCCAAAAAGCACTGAAGAAAGGGAATTGCTTAAAAACAGCGGCTTCAGAATGTCCAGTATAACTTACTGTTTCTTGTCAAGTAGCCTCTCCAGCGCATCCAAAAGCAGTCCGAGACCCTCATGGCCAAAGTTATTCACCCAGCTAAAAACAGAAAGAGACAGGCAAAGAACTGGGTTAGAATATATAACCAACATGCAGACTGCAAACACGTTTAAGGTTAGAATTGCTTGGTTTAAAATAAGAGCTGAGCTTCTACACAACTGTGGAGATGGTGGGATTTTTACTTTCTTTTTTTATTCTTTTTTCAGGTTTTATTGACAATAGTAAGGGTGGTTGTGGCACTCGCAGAATCATATACAAGATGAGTCAGTCTCTGTCTCTCAGAGAAGTGCCACCTTTGACAAGAACATGAAGAAATAGTGTGATTTTGTTCTCCATATTTCTGTTAGTGGCATAACATGAGGAATTTTCCACATATGTGCGACCAGATGGGATTCAGGATGAAAAACTAAAATATTTATGCATTTGAGAGAAGAAAAATGTGTCTTTCCTTGTGAAATTAAGTAATTATAAAGCAATTTCTTTGAAATACCATTTGTATGCCTTTTTTATTGAAGCGCAAGACAATTCACAAAAGAAGATGATAACACTTCATCACACTATATTGAAATCTAGCATTACACTTTATTTTAAGAGCTCAAAGTTACAGTTATACACAACTATACATTTAAGCACTGTGCGGTATTAACTACATGTATTTACTATGTATGGATAAGGGTTAAATTAGGTTACATACATCATTTCATGAGTTAACACTTAGCTGATGATTGGTTATAAAGCGTGTTTGGCATACTGTCCCAGGAGAGAGCCCTGAGCTCATAGGATCCACAAGCCTTCGGCTCCCTCCCGTTTGAAGGGCAAGAAGGGAGTTTGAGCTCAAGTAAGTCTCAAGAACTCCCCTTTTATATGGAGCTAGTGGTAAATTAAGGATTTCTGTATAGAGATAAGGGTTGGGCCAATAGACGATCCCCCCCTTTGCAAATCCGCTCGCGAAAAATACACACTCATGCCCGGTTAACACTAAGAGGTCTTAGGTTTTAAATGGCATTTAAGGATGAAATCGATCCACATCCATTGTGGCATTTCATCTAGCCCTCCTTCCACACTACTGCTGAAAAGGCACATCACGTGACTACGCACATGCACACACACATACACACACACACACACACACACACACGCACAGGCACAGACACACACACACACACACACTGCCATTCGCTCGAGACAGCGGGTCCAGGCAGTCAGCGGGTCAGTAGACTGGTTCAATCTTTCACTTTTATGCTTGTACTTAGTAATTCTAGTGAAAACTAAACCTCAGATACCGTTGGCTGGTTCCTGTTGGTTGTGCACCTTTTTTTACTAACCAAGTTTGTCGACGCCATTATAATGACACCGATTACTCTGCCTATTCACGAGTCCCGAGGAAAAAGTGATTGACAGGTGGTAATTATTTGTGTAACTTGTCTTTATTCATTTATGATCATTTATGGGTAAAACAAAGACCATGCGGGTCAGATAGTTGAAACAGTAGGCTACAAATAATGAATTCGTTGTGACAACAATTCACCTATGACAATGATTCCATCGTTCATCTTGATGTTTCATATTAGACATCATACAATGCCAAATTGGTCGACATCGCCCAACCCTAATAGAGATATACTGTTGCTTAAGAGCTCGACTATAGTGTCAATTTGGATTGGTTGATTAACCTATGCTGCATGTTTTTTTTGAACGGGAGGAAACCGAAGAACCCAGAGGAAACCCACGCGAACATGGGGAGAACATGTAAACTGGACAAGAACCAGTAACATTTTTACTGCGAGGCAACAGAAGCCACTGAGCTGCGGTGCTGCCCTATTACAGAAAATGAAGGAGGAGTAAGGAGAGAAGGGGAATTCTTCAAGGTGATCATAACTGAAGTAATAAACTCTGATTCATAGTGAATTTTTAGTGAGTTAATAATCATCTGGTTGGCGAAACACATGATAGATAATGCGGGACCAGTTGTGATCAATTATAAGCACGTGCTCACCTCGAAATTAGATTCTAAATAAACTTCACTTATTGTTAATAATATAGTAAGTACAGGAAAGTGCAACACTGACCCTGTTAAAGTGTAAAATATAGAGATTTTATTTAGGATTGTTTGTGCCCTACTATGCTATTTGTACTACCTATTTTTTAACATCATAATAACTGTCAAGTCTGATATATTGGAAATCGTTCCAAAAAGTGCCATAAAATGCATTCATTCAATACGTAGTTTCCTGATATCTACACAGTAGGTGTGTATAGCATAAGTAGATTCAAAAATTATCCAGAAATAGGTTTATATGCTCATTTGTAACCACAGAAATTATCTATAGAATCAAAAGCTCATTGTAACCGTATTTATGAATAGCTTTGAAAAATAATAAGATTAATAATAATATCTACTCTGATGCTTTGCAGCTTGTGTCAGTGCCTGCTCTCTGTCTCTATTTTCAACTGAAGTGGTGCATAGGTTTATTTTCTTCACAGCAGCAATTCTTGTATTAAAATGTATGAATATATGTATATTCATATACTATTTATAATACAATTTTGTCATTTAATACAAACAGTCATTAAAATAAACTGTACCTACAAACAACACAAGCATTTATAGCAATTAATATAAACAAATATAAATATCCCGGTCGCTTTCTGATCCTTGTCTAGTTCTCTTACACCCCTTTGATTGGTCACACCCTCAACAAAAACGGTTGCAATTGGCTCTTGCACGCTGCGCTCTTCACAGATGAGTGACACTGACAAGCGGCTGGCGGCAGAGGCGATCACAGCTGATCCATTATGGACACAGTGGAGAAAACTTTGCAGGCATGCGGTCGTGTCTGTATTCAGAAGTATCGCTGTAAAACAGCTGAGAGGAGAGGAAAGTCATGCCAGCAGGTCAAATGGGTGACCGTGTCTGTGCGGGTGTGTGCGTGTTTAAGAGGGAGAGACAAATGGAGTACTTTCATTCTCTTAATCGCAGTGAAATAGGGGCTTCTGCTGTGTGTCGGCGAAAGACTGATCCAGCAAACATACACGCAGTCAAATTGTGCACAGTTTACGAGTTTTAAGTTGTTGGAGTGTTGTAAATACTCGCGATTGCCTCACTCGCGACAGAGCGCATATGTGATAAATGACATCAGTACTTAATAACCGGTTATGATTATTACTGAACCGATACTGAATTGTCCGTGTCTGCATCGCGGTGCATCGAAGAAACAATTTATTTTGATACTCCTAATAAATATGCATAAAACATTTATTTTGACAGTTTAAACGTGTCTGTTGCCTCATTATATACATACTTCTATCTGCAGCCTAATTACAACCATAAGAAGCAAATTTCACAGTATACGTTATTATATTACGTTATACAATATATGTTATTTATTATTTACGTTAATATATGTTAAACTGGCAAGAAATACATTCAAATTGACCATATGCCTTTGCAGGGTGATGCTGAACTAACATATAATCTATATATTCATCATTTTGCATTCTTACAAGCTGTGAACAGCTATATAGTCATGGTGACTGCCTGCTTCACAAAACTGCTCCAATTTAGTCTCTCTGCTGTTCCCATTTTTAAAATAAGAGTCCCACATGCATATAGTATGTTTAATACAAGCTTTTATAAACCTAAAAGTAAGGAAAATCCTATAGTTGTAATCTCTCTAGAAAACACTGTGACCAATCAAACGCAGCCTGGGGCATGCATATTAATGATTGCCAAAGTCTGTATTTTATTTCGATTGGCCTGTTTTTCACCGTGATTTTACACTCACAGGATTTACATGAGAACATGTTTTTTGTGAGCCTCATGGTACCTCATTTCCATGTACTAAACTTTCTTTTACTCAGCTATGCTTAGATATATACATATTTTCATTCTATGGCACCAATAATTCACAGATACAACCCAACATTCACTCCCCTTTTCACATAAAAACATATAAATAAATAAATCCCGAACTCTGGCTTCACCTGATTAACACACGCTTGAAAACAGATTCATCTAAGAACAGCACATTGCAAATGAAGTGAAGACGAATGCAAATGAGAGAACTGGTTGTGTGTGGTGCCTTCAGGCAAGTTGTGCAGGCCATGCACTCCAACAGCAAGATAAAGCAATGCATGGGAGATAACAGTAAAACCGATAATGGATTGTGTAAGATAATTGGCTATAAAACACAATGTATCTGGAGACATTAAATGATCTGGAGGGGATAAGAATAGAGAGAGAGGGAAAGAGCGAGAGAGCTACACAGCATGTGATCACATTTAAAGTATGCTATTAACATCACTTGTTCTGCGCTCCAGATTGTCAATAAACCCAAATGCATGAGGCAATTTGTTGCATTAAAGGACCATAAGTCAACGAGTTTCTCCTTTCTTGTGGACAATCATATTGTAAAATGTGACATGCATATTAAAATCATTTGTATGAACCCATATGGTAAAACAAGACCCTCAATTAGAGGTGATGTCAGAGCCTAGGGCAGTTTTGCAAGGCTAAAATGCACTTTCCCACAGATCTGCTATTAAATTAGCCTAAAATTACAAACACAGAGGCTCACTATGCCATTACTCAAAATTCATTACCGACCCACTAAAACAGTTTGAAACTTATTACCGTTTGCTGTACAGTACATTACAATTGTCTGATTTGTTAATAAAACATAACAGCATAATGTGCAAAATTTATAATATCTGTTTACAGGGGGCTTCTCGTTTATTGTTTCCAATTTTCTTGAGGGAAAAACACAGTTTGAGGTCGATAAGAAAAAAAAAAGTTCAACCTTAACAAGGCTTGTGGTATAAAAAGAGTTATTCTGGAGGTGGTTGTGGAAAAAGAAGGATGTAAAAACGACATGAGCGTATATAATTCATTTCTAACACAACGGTGTGGGTTATGGTTTCAGCCTGAAGCGGATGAGTGTTGAAAACATGAGACTAACATCTGAGGTTGTGTGGTGAGACCCAATGAAACCTTAGCCAGCACAGTGCGGTCATGTCACTCAACAACACTCCAACCACAC